TTAAACACACAGTTAAGATAAAACTGAGTCAGTCCACTCCTATTTACCCAAGAGAAATAAAAGCACACAATCACAAAAAGATTTGTACACGAATGGTCACGGAAGCTGGAACAGTTTAAATACTGAAAGTTCCCCCAAGGTCCATGTGTTAAAGGAATGGTCCCCAGGGTAACAGTATTGGTAGATGGCAGGACAAAGTTTGAGAGGTAGAGGCTTTGGGAGGTCCCTAATCCAATTGAGGCCTGCTCTAGAAAGGAACCTTGGACCTTTCTCTCCTTTTCCTTGGCTCTCTGGCTCCTGATGTGCGTGGTTTTGCTCCTCCACACACTCTCTCTATGATATGCTGCCCAAATCAATGGGGCTAATAGATCATGGACTGGAACCTGCAAAACTATGGGTCAAAATAACCTTTTTTCCTCTTTTTAAGTTAACTCAAGTATTTTGTTATAGTAAATAAAAGCTAACACAGAAGCAGTGAAGACAAAAACCAAAAAATGGAAAAACCCAACAACTATCAACTCGTGAGCAGAAAAAAAAAAAAAAAAAAGCAGTTCATACAATGGACTACTCAGCATATAAAATAAATATTCAGCAAGGAAATAAAAAGTACACTCAGCAAATAAATGAAACTGCTGAAACATAAAACATGGGTGAAGTTCAAAGCATTATTACACTAAGTGAAAGAGGCCAAACACAAAAGACCACCTAGAATATGAGTTCATTTATAAGAAATTCTAGAAAAGACGAAAGTACAGCAGTAGCACAAAGACCTAGATTTTAATAAGAATTCAGAGTAAGGGAAAGGGACTGAAAGCTTTTAAAGTTAGGAACATGATCTTTATAATGAGTGCAATCTTGGTTCAAACATTGGTCAAGACTCATTAATACCCTTAAAAATTGGTAAATTTCATTGCAAGTAAGTTATATCTCAATAATTTTTAATCATATACAACAATAAAAACTCTATGCTGACATACTGAACTAATAGATATTCATGGTGTATGTCCCTTTTACATTACTTATCAAACTCTCAAAGTGACTACTAGGCAAATATATAACAATTAAGAATCTGAAACAATATTTAACAGATCACAGGCTCCTACATAACCATTCCTGTCATGACATCTGTATTCATTTAAACAATACACAAGTATTCAATAATGCATGTTGACAATTTTAGTGAGAAGTCTTTAGTCATAACACAATTTACTAGAATTCAAAAGCAGAAGCAAAACGACCTTTACTTTATTTGAGAGGAAAAAAAAAAAAAGCCCACACTGATATAATTCAGTGAAACACTCAATTTAGAGTTCTAAATACAGTAATCAATTACCAAGAATTATTTATCAGCTATTTGAGGAATTTCAAACAAAAAAACTCTCAATCTCGGTAATTTCTCATAAAATTTCATTTTAAATGTTATGGTAAAAACAATGCACATGCACTCTGCTAGGAAGTATTAGAAGAGTTGAACAAAAATAAACAGATGACTGTGATTACAGTTTCCATCTAAGGCAATAGCATAAGCAAAAGAATTCTCCCCTAATTTCATTATAGGTAAAATACATTAAAATTTTGAGCATCTAAACATTTCAAAGTGACAATTATTTTAGCTTTTATGTACATAAAAAATAAAGTAAATTTTTTAAAGTGAAGAAATAAATAATTTCTACAACATACAGGGGCAGCAGCACACATTCAAGTCAATCTCTCATCATTATGTGGCCAATGCTTCACAAGAAGGTTGACTATCAAAATGCTATTTCTCAATATCTGAGAGAAGAAAAGGCAGGCCATGAACCCAGAAGCAGTGTTCTAATCTACAAGTAGGTATACAAAAATGATTCCCAAGCCACAGGGCCACTAAGATGGGTAAGTGCGTAAAATTTTAATTGCAAAAATTTCTTTAAAAAGAAGTCTTCATACTTCTTTTATTTTAGATTGAAAACACATAAAGGAAACTCTGACAGGCAGGGCCAATGGGGATGATTCTTCAGCAGACTGCTTGCCCTGCCTTTGGAATCAAGAGAAGTAACTAAGCTAAGGGTCTTTAATCAGGTCCTTCACCTCACAGAGACTCTACAAACTGAAATTCTACAAGCTTGAAAGGATCAGAATTGTTCTTTGACATCTCTTTTCAGTCTAAAATTCTGCCTCTCAAATTTTTAATAATAATTCTGGAACTCAGCTGATGTTACAATTTAAATTACCAAAACAGAAAAACAGATGAACATACTTTATAATTTTTTGAAGTTATTACTTCATATGTACTTGCCTAATATAATTTATCATTTCAGAAATGTTTCAAGAAAATAAAATACCACCCTAAATCATGATTTTATTTATAGACATTTCACACAATTAGAGTAACAATGGGCATAACATTCTGTACACAACTGTCTACTCTTAGGTGTTTTCCACACCATCATACATAGCCTTTATATGTATTGCTTTAAAGAGTTGCTTAACATTCCAATCAGGGCATGTATATATTCATCCGTAGACATATATATTAACACAAAATACTAAAGGATAAAAATTATTGAATTATTATTCTTAGGGAAATAATGGAGATTTCTCAGTATAATTTTCTAATAAGCTACCCTGCAGCCCCAAAAGAACCTCACAGCCACCAGTCATGGTATGAGAGCCTTTTACCTCAAAACCATGTTAACCCTGTCCTAAAAGTTACACATATAAGAATCCTAATTCTCTTGGTCTAAATTCCTCACACTGCTCAAGAAAAAGAATTGAAAATAAATGTAAAACATTTATAAGAAACATACAGCTATCACTTATTGGATACAGTTGGCTCTCTGTATCCATGGATATCATCCTCAGATTCAACCAATCACAGAAAATACTTGGGGGGGAAAAATTCATAAGTACTGAACATGTACAGACTTGTATCCTTGTTATTATTCCTTAAGCAATGTAGTATTACAACTATTTACATAGCATTTACATTGTATTCAGCATTGTGAAGAGCGGTGACAAGTAGATGGGAGAGCAGTGTCTGAAATTGGGGTCCCTGATGTCTTCATGGCTGTGGCATGCTTGGTGCCTAGGAAAGTTAATGTGCAAAGGTGCAGGATGCCTAGTTGCTATGGTAATGCATTCCATGAGGAAGCTCTGTGCTAGAGTCTTATCAGTCTGGACCTTGATCTCAGGCACCCAGTTCCTGGGACAACCACAATGTTTCACCAGCTCTGCTGCTCCTGAATCTGCCTGTATAACAGTAACTTTAGACAATGGACTTTCTTGAGGGACACACAAACCTCCTAAGGTTGCACACTGCAAATGTAGAATGTAACTGAGGAATAAGCTGCATAATGTTGCTAACTTTCATGAATACAAAGAATAATGCTTGCAAAGAATGTCTTGCATCTGAATGAGCCATATATAATAAAGATTGCTAGCATGATTCTTTAGACCTGCTTCTCCTTCTGAGAGCAGTGCTCCACCCAATCCCAGCTGTTATCTTCAAAAATCTGTGTATTTGAGCCTTTATTTTTCTAATCTCCCATCGCCCCTTGCCGGAACTGCTAGTTTGGCCACACTGGTCATAGCAGGGTAACGTAGGTAATACAGACATGATTTAAAGTATATGGAAAGATGTGGGTAGGTCACGCAAACACCACACCATTTTACCTAGGGGACTTGAGCACCTGCTGATCTGTGTACTCATGGAAGTTGGGAGCACGAAGGGAACTGAGGGCGAAGGTTCAGCGAGTCCTGAAACCAACCCCCTAAGGGTAGGAAGGGACAAATATAGTGCACTGTGCTTCCTCTACACTGTCACATCAAAGTCTCCACCAACCCTACTAGGCAGATAGCACTAACTTTGACAAATGTGAAAACAGAAGCCTGAATGCCTAACACTCTCACCCAAGCATCTGAGGACAGTGATTCTATATTCTTCGATGACCCAAATGGAGTTACAGCAATCCTTTTTTAGGTATGCTACATTACATTATAAGAAAACAATAAAACCTTACCACAGCCAAGACTTTTGCAATGAATATTTCTTAATACTTTAAAATTCTATGTTTTACAGTGGAAGCCATAGATTAAAACCTAAAAAGACTGAGTAACTAAAGAACACAGGCCATAATTAGTCACCTCTAAAAACATCTGTCTACAAATATACCCTCATGTTCTAAGAACTGTTCCAAACATAGAATTCTAAGCACTCAATAAAAATTTGTTCAATGAATAAAACACTGCACAGACTTGAATGTCTGATTACTTCAAGGAAATTACCCTATTTATATTTTTGTTGAAATAGTTTTATGCTTCAATCAACTTCTGTCTCTATTTGATTATTAGTAAACAAATAAATAATAATAATGATGCTGCATGTTATCAGCTTTTTTATTTTGATCACACACATTTTTCACTTGTTGAAACAGATTCATTTAATATCTTGGCTTAGAAATACTAGGAAATAAGGAAAATGCAAAATAACTTGATGTTTAGCTTTGAGAAATGCAACACAAACCAAAAATGTATATGTGAATTAGTTGTCTTTTGCTATCGCAGATAGCACAGACACATCCAGCCCCCACCTGGATACTACCATAAACACCCATCTTCAAAGCAAATTATCTATACTTAGAACTCTGAGATGAGACAGCAACTGCCAGTCAATTCGCGTATCTTCTGAACAACTAACATACAGGGCATAATGTTTTGGTAGGACACCTAATTTTTCCTTCCCAACTGATGTTTCATAAATATGATTTATGTATGCATCACAAGCAAATTTTAATGACTCAAAATATTTTTTTGGTAAATACAGAATTTACCAAATCCACATGTTGCAAAAGATTCTAATGCTGACAGAGTAAACATGTTATTTTTCTCATGAAAAACAGACTGAGTTGTTGCCAGTAATGAAGTTTAAACCAAAACCACAGAACATTTGAATGAAAAATGGGCCACTACTGAGGAAACACTAAACCTTAAATATAATTTCACAATAAAATTCATTTACATACCAGCACAGAATATCCCTGGGACTTCACTCCTGATTATTATAGTCCGAACTTTCTTATCAGATTTTAAGGCATCCACAGCTTTTGATAACTAAACCAAAATAGGAAGAACAAGAAGGAAAAAGAAAAAAAGATCATTTTCAGATTGATATTAATACTATATCTTAAAATTAGAAGCAAACAGTTTAATTTTTACACTCACCATTTTTATAAGATTTTTACTAAGTGAATTTTTGCCATAAGCTCTGTTTATTCCAAGCACCACAATTCCTGGTTAAGGGAAGGGGGGGAAAGCATAACACTTGAGTTAGTAAGATATACAGAGAACACAGACTCTAGTACACCTAGCTACCTCGGGACTTAACAAACCTACCACCTCCTTAAGGTTCCTGCAAGACTTTATTCATCTTTATTTTCATATTTAGTTTCCTTTATAAGATAAATAGTTTTTTTTAATTTTCTGGATTTATTGAAGTATAACTGACAAATAAAGTGATATATTTAAAATATACAACCTGATGTTTTGAAATGTGTATACATGGTGAAATGCTTGCCCTTATTAAGCTAATTAGCATAGTCATCAACTTATGCCTTTTTTAAATTTATTTTTACATTACAATTCTTAATACACCATCATGCCATAATTTATCATCTCTCTGATTATATATGTTGATACCAAATTCACATCTTCATACATGTATTTTGTATAACTATCATAGTTTTAAAAAACTGTTCATCTTGTATCTCATCATTATATAAGATAAACAGTTTTTTAAAAAACTATGACAGTTAAAGAACTTATAAAATCAAACTAGAGCTTAATGTTCATTACTTTTAGGGAAGAACTTCATGACCCTTCAATTTATCTCTGTAAGTATCATCAAGATAAAATGTAACATTTTACTAAATTTTAAATCACTAAATCAGACACACTAGAGAAGGTTACTTATTAGTGAACAATTGGATTATAAGACAGTACTTAAAATGGGGCTTCATCACTTCAAGCATACAGTACACAGAAATAACAGCTAACAAAACCTTGTCACATATAAAAATTACCTGATCTATTTTTCTGCTGATATACCAGTTAACAGCTCACTAATGCTTTTTGTTATAATACATAATTCTCTTTATTTCAACCCCAGGCTTTTCTCCTGACTTCTGTCCCACACACTAAACCTGAGGGTATTCCTATTTTAAAAACCTATGAGCAATTCAAATTCAATCTATATAAAACAAAGATCATCATCTTATAAAAATGGAGATCTCCCTCCTAACTCTCCTAATTCTATCAAAGACTATCACCTAAATACAGTCCCCCACTCCAACTGCAGATCAATTTTCTAAAAGCAATTCTTATGCATAGAATTCCTCTCTCCTTAAAATTTTTTAATAATTTATTTCAATCTACATGAATTCAAAGACCATAAATGGATATTCAAAATCCTATGCAACCTGTACTCGGCCTTCTTGTCTCCTGGGTAAGCACAAACTTGCACTATATATCAGCCCTTCTACTGGGCTGAATACGGTCCTCAGTTTTAACTGAGTAAAACAAAAGACAATGAAATGTACACATGTCTGTTCAAGAAACTGCAAAGCCGTTGTTTTAAGAATTCCAAATGATTTCAGTTGATGGAGAAAAACATGAGAACTGGTATCTACGACAGGCTGTGTGTTAAACACTGCGTGACCCTGAGTAGGTCTCAACAGGAATGACAACTGCTCCACTAACTGAGCACATTAGTATGCACCAGTACTGCTCCAGTGCCTTATCCCTGCTAATTCACATAATCCTCACAACCCAAGAGGCAGGCACTACTTTTATTCTCAGTTGACAGATAAGGAAAGACTTGAAGAGGTTAAGAACCTTTAGCCAGTAAGGAGCAATCAAACTCCACACTTCAATGAGTATGGCTCACCATTAAGCTTCAGTTTAGTAGCTAACTGTGAACATGAGATGTGTTCGCTAAACTATATTGAGTATGCATTTTGGTGCTCAGCCCTCAAAGAACTAGAGTCTAGGAGGGAAAGATAAACATTAATAATCAGCAGACTATATAATTCAAAATGTTGTATACACTACAAGTTGTATACAAGTGTTACTACAGATATGCTATATAGTAACTTAGAGCCAGAACTGATATGGTCTGGGGACAAAGGGAGATGGCTAACAAAAGCTTACCCACTATTTGAGGTGAGCTGAGAAGAATGACATGCTCACCATCTCTAGCAGTCAGAGAAATGCAAATCAAAACCACCCTAAGATACCATCTCACCCCAGTAAGATTGGCAGCCATTATGAAGTCAAACAACAACAAGTGCTGGCGAGGATGTGGGGAAAAGGGTACACTTGTACGTTGCTGGTGGGACTGCAAATTGGTGCAGCCAATCTGGAAAGCAGTATGGAGATTTCTTGGAAAGCTGGGAATGGAGCCACCATTTGACCCAGTTATTCCCCTTCTTGGTCTATTCCCTAAAGACCTAAAAAGAGCATGCTACAGGGACACTGCTACATCGATGTTCATAGCAGCTCAATTCACAATTGCAAGACTGTGGAACCAACCCAGATGCCCTTCAATAGACGAATGGATAAAAAAATGTGGCATTTATACACAATGGAGTATTACTCTGCATTAAAAAATGACAAAATCATAGAATTTACAGGGAAATGGATGGCATTAGAGCAGATTATGCTAAGTGAAGCTAGCCAATCCCTAAAAAACAAATGCCAAATGTCTTCTTTGATATAAGGAGAGTAACTAAGAACAGAGTAGGGACGAAGAGCATGAGAAGAAGATTAACATTAAACAGAGATGAGAGGTGGGAGGGAAAGGGAGAGAAAAGGGAAATTGCATGGAAATGGAAGGAGACCCTCAGGGTTATACAAAAGAACATACAAGAGGAAATGAGGGGAAAGGGAAAAATAATACAAGGGGGAGAAATGAAGGTCAGTAGAGGGGGTAGAGAGAGAAGAGGGGAGGGGAGGGGGGATAGTAGAGGACAGGAAAGGCAGCAGAACACGACAGTCACTAGTATGGCAATATGTAAATCAATGGATGTGTAACTGATGTGATACTGCAATCTGTATATGGGCTAAAAATGGGAGTTCATAACCCACTTGAAGCAAAGTGTGAAAGATGATATATCAAGAACTATGTAATGTTTTGAACAACCAACAATTAAAAAAAAAAAAAAAAAGAATGCATTAAGGTGGGAAGGCCAGAAGACGGCTGAATTCCAGGCAGAGGAAACACAGGAGAAGGCATAAATCAGTCCTGGTCCCATTTTTCCCACAGGAAAAAGCACAAATCAGTAACAGTCCACAGAGAGGAGAATGGAGAGGACAGCACAAAACTCAATGTCTTCAATGAGGGACTCAATGTCCCTTCAAGTCCTGCTAAAAATCTGGCCTTTATCCTAAGAACAAGGAGTAACCTCTAGAGCAGATATACACACACACAAAACGAGAAAGGGGATCAGCCAGAAGTGCACAGGATAGAAGCTCAAGGCACACTCTGTAGTCCAGTCAGGAGATGTCAGGTTTGGCTGAGGCTGACAGTTGTAGAAATAAAGGGAACTGAAAGGATTCATGAGCTATTCAAGGTACAATTTAAATGAGTCACTGATGACTAGACTAAGGATTAACTGAACTGAAGAGAAGTGCTAGGATTTCTGGCTCCAGCAATTGGACAGAATGAAATGACATTTAATGAAACAAATCTATTAAAAATGACCAATGTGAGATCTGGAGGGGGATAAAGCTCCCGAGTTCAGTTTTGAATTAAAGGGAAGCTGAAATGTCTTTGAGGTATGAGATACAAATAATTCTAAATGCCATGGAGAGACATGGTGTGAGGACCAAATGATATGACACACGTAAAACTTACAGCACAAGTACCTAATTACTATCTCTCCTTCTAGCACAAACATTTTTGGTGCATTAAGTACTAATGTTTTATCATAAACTTTGCTAGATACTGCTGATATCATTATTAAAAATTCCATCAAAATGATTCTACCATAGTTAATTCCAGCAGTTTTTGAACTTACATTATGAAATTGACGTTTTTACCATAATTTAGGTTCCCTTTGTTCCATACTATATTTAGAGATTTTTTTTTTAAAGTATGTTTTAAGGAGCTTGCATTATCTATATACTTCATAGCAGGACAATAAAGGGAGCCTCCTAAAAATACGTTAACTGAGAATCCCCGGACTACCACTCAATACTGAATATCATAAATCTCTGACAATATATGGGAAAATAATGTCCTTTTATAATAAGTTTCACCAATTTTCTGAACTAAAGTTAACTAAGTTAAATGTTCATCAGCTCTTTTATGAATTACCTATTTTTATTATTTGCCTATTAAGTCATCTTCTTCCAGGACATGGTGTAGTGTTCCACATTTTTAGGTCCTTCATTCTTTTGGGGGGACCTGTAGTCTTTCAGGCATAGTTCTAGCACATGTTTTGGAAGGCTATTTGTTCTTGTGAAGGCTTTTATTTCTATTTCAGTTATAATTTCTAATCACATATTATAAGTATATGAAAAGTTTTGTGGTATCTTCTTTAGTATTTTCCTAGCAAATTTATGAACAGTTAACAGATTTAATGAGTTATTATCTTCAATCTTCCAAGGACATGATCAATCATCATCTAGAAATGTTGGCAGTAACATTTTTCTCTCCAGTAATGACTTAAATATCTCATTTCCTTCTCTTACCATTTTACTTTAACTAGAACTACAAAACGAATACAGACGATTTGCAAAGATTACAAGTTTCCTTATGTTATCAACATCTTTAATGAGAATGCTTCTGCCATTTCATCAATTGTTATGCTTGCTACAGATTTCTTCTACTGGCTTTTAACAAGTTGTAAAAATTTATTTCTAAGTTCACACTTGCTTTAAAAAAGGCCATTCAGGGTGTGACTGACTCTACTTTGTGTACAACCAGAGATATGAAAAATCGTGCTCTATATGTGTAATATAAATTGTAATGCATTCTGCTGTCATATATAACAAATTTTTTTTTAAAAAAAAAAAAGGTTATTCAGGCCACAATACAAAGAATGGATCAGAAAACAGCAAGATAAATGGATGAAGTTGGAGAAGATAATGCTAAGTGAAGTTAGCCAATCCCCAAAAAACAAATGCCGAATGTTTTCTCTGATATAAGGAGGCTGATTCATAGTGGGGTAGGGAGGGGGAACATGGGAGGAACAGAGGAACTCTAGATAGGGAAGAGGGGTGGGAGGGGAAG